TGGTGCAGAGTGCGGCGGAGAGGCATGTGGCACATGGGTGGTTCACAGGGGATCAACAATCACTTCCCCAACAGCATCCACTCTCAAGAGCACCACCAATAGTCCACCTTTTCTCAACCTGGTGATCTCCGTATGTGTTGGACTGCAGCTTACAGCATACTTCGACAAGGCATGTTGGGAATTGTAGTTCAACACATATGGAAGGGGGGTGTATGGGGATAGAATAACCCATCATCTATGGCCAAGCCTGGGCTCTCTCTCTCTCTCTCTAGGTAAGGCAATGAAATGTGGCTTCAGCAGGTAACCCTAACTGGTGTTGCTCCTAGGAGCTTTGCTATGCGCACTAAAATTTGGGTTTTTTTTCCATCCTTGACCTCTGTTTCTGAGGATGCTGAGGGTTGTAGCCAGACTCCAACATCTTCTAAAGAAACATATTTGCATGTCTTTTTGCATAGATGGTGCTACATTGTTTTCAATAAAATGCTCATTAAGGGTGCCATCTAAATAAAATACATGCCTCAAGGTGTAGTGGCGGAGATTGTTACCACTGTACCTTATCCCACACACAGAATGCATTTAAGCCTCTATATTTGGAAGCTTACATGCAGCAAGGCTGTGGATCACTGGACCACACCTTAAAAGATATATTATGAACACTGCATTTCTCAAATTGCATGAAATACAGAAATGCACAAGAAACTCTACCACTTTTTCTTCTCTCACATCACCTTTAAAATCTTTCCAATCTGTGCAACTCACATCCCCAAAGCACAGTTCTACCCAGATCAAAGTTTACAAATGGAAGAAATCTCAATCAAATGAGAGAAGAAAACTATACTTTTACAGCAAATGCAAATCATTCAGGATTATTTGGTTCCATGTGCAGTACAGCCAGTATAGAACCCTGGATGGTTATATGTAATCAGTACTGCTGTTCTAGAACATTAGAAGAGCCATGCTGGATCAGACCCAAGGACCAGCTTGCTCAGCATCAAGCTCCAAGTGGCCAGCCACCCGCCTAAGAAAACAAGCTTTTGCCATCTGTATATGGTGTCAGTTGCTGATAATTGCTTAGACACACCCACATACTAGCAACTTTCTAATATGCAATGTGCAAACCCAAATGAGCTTTGGTTTTTTAACAGTAGTACAAGCTATACTTCTGATATAATGACTCAAGCACCCTAGATTTCTTGCTTTATTTCCCTTATTCATGTCCCAGGACACTGCCTAGTTTCTTGCTCTCATGTAGATCCTAAACTAAAGTATGCCTAGAGACATCCTTGTAAGGCTGTCCACACCCATCCCAGCTAAACAAAGGAAATGAATGTGTCAACAAGTCACAAATTACTCTTCAAGTTACTAATTTTTCATTCCTAGGAACTGCTGGTATAACACTAGATGATAAGGAACATGTTATTTCTTTCAAAAAGAGTGAATATAGAATGGATACTATATCTCGGGATTCCATGTGAAGAATAAATAATGTTTTAGGGGCAGTGGGAATCAGGGTGATACATCTGAAAATGTGCAGGTTCTCCTAGTGCTCCATGTCAAAATTCAATGATTTGTGTTGAAAACAAGCAAGCACACACACTTAAAATAGATGAGCCATAACCAAAAACTGATGGGGAACACTTGCTACTCAAAGATTGGAGAAATTCAGTGGAACGAGCATAAGGTTGCCAATGTTCTATTTTCTAAATGCATTTATTTTTGCAGGGCTCCTGTGGTGTTTAACAGCTGCATGACAGAATGAAATTCAGCAGCTGATTCTTTCCCTGTCACTGTAATGCCACGCTAAGAAAAACTTAACCTACTGCATTTCTACACATCACACATTTTTGAACATACAGGCATCATGCAAGAAAATAACCTGGCCATCCTAAACAGGATTTGTAACACCTGGCTGCTTCTGCATCTGCATCACGAATGGACATGAATGAACAAAAGGATGCCGGACTTCTGAGATCCAGGTATGCACTTGGGATTGCTTGCTGTGACAATGAATCAACCCAGCCATAGCAATAACATTGAATACATGAGTCATGGTGTGCGCCTAGGGCTCCCATACCCTGCTTATGGTTCCGCTTAACAGACAAGCCAACCATGCAGTGTGTTTTCACAAGCAGTTACCTTGTTTTCATGCTAATTCATACTTCAGACCGTTTCCTGCATGCTTTTAATCACCTGCCCCCCCCCCCCACATATTCAGAGCAGACTTCTTGACAGCTGTGTGTGTATTAGTAGGAGTCCTGGGCCAGGTGGCTTTGCTTGAAGCCAGATGGGCCAGGGACTGTAGGTGGGGCGGGAAGGAATATGCTGAGGTCAAATTTACAAGGGCTTACATGAGGTGTTGTCTGATTTAGGCCAGTGATCCATTTTTTATAGTTGCATTTTATTTTTTATTATTGCTGTGAGCTCCCCAGAAAGTTTTGACTACTGGTTGGTAAAGAAATGCAATAAATAAATAAAATCCAGAGCACTAATTGTTCAATTGACAGGACTTTGGCTTGAATGGAGGATGGAAGCTGATGTTTTAAAACTTTCTCCTTCTCAATGTGGTGGTGGATTTGTTTACGATCATCTATGACCTGGTGGTTTTAAAATATGCTGCTGTTTGTAGTGTCTACCAGAAGGAAGGAAGGAACTCTTTTGCCAAAGTATACCTTTATGAATTATTGCCCTATCCAAATTAAAATACATACCACCAAGGCTGGCCTTATAGAAAATATAAAGCATGTATCTCAGATTATTTGGCTCCAGCACAGTGTAGCCTATGAGCAACTAATGCAAGACCCTAACCCTAACCAAAAAGTGACAGCTGAAGCCTCAGGTTTGCAGGCTTCTTCTAGTCCACACAGCTGCACATGCAACCAAAAGTTCTGTTGCATCTTAAGGAATACATGTTGTGTCCAGATCTAAGCTAGAGCAATTGTGCTAGCAAAAGGGAACTGCCCTGCCATCCTCCTCCACAGGGCAGCCCCTCAAGTCCCCTGAAAATGTTCAGGAGGAGAGCAGGAGATCCTGCCCAACTGGGTAAACTGTGATTTAGTGGGGAAGGGGTGATGATCACCAAAAAGTTGAAAACTGGCCCTCTGCCAGCAATATGGGTGGTTCCATCGTGTTAAAGAGCCGTTCAGCTGTGTGTTATTTCCGAGAAGTACTGTTCATTTACACCAGCCTGAAGCTGCCATAGAAAAATAATAAAATCCTACTTAATCTTGGGGAAAGGGGGGATGTAAAACAGCACCCCCTTTCTCTTCAGCCCTGGAGGGCACAATGAGACCCCTCCCCGCTGTCACAGTTAGGATTGCTCTGCCACACATTTATTCTGACAGAAGCTTTTGAGGACTAGCTTTCACACAGAGGCAAATAGTGCTATCCTCAGCTGGCAGGATATCCCTGTAGATTATATACACAGAGAGGTACAGAGAAGGGTGTGTGAACCGTGGGGTGAAAACACCACGAAATGGAAGGGATAAAAGGATATCATATTGCCTGGGCTGGAACAGTAGCAGATGGTTGGACATGATGCTGGTAAAACACATGCTGCTTGCATGAAGAAGGTCCTGGGTTACAACCTCAGTGTCTCTGGAAGTTCTGCTGAACCCCTGAAGAGCCACTGCTTGTCAGGGTCAACAGTTCTGGGCTGGGTGCACCACTGGTACAATTCTGTATAAGACGGTTTCTATCTTCCTAGGAGCACGTGGTGTCCTGCACTGAGCAGGGGGACTGGACCCAGTGATCTTACTGGTCCCTTCCAACTCACTCCACAAAATCCAGTTCTTGCATGGTGGATTACTTTCAAGTGGGTGGATCCCAACAAGCTGACACGCTGTCCAGCTGTAAAAGGTAGGCCTTCCCATTTAAAATTCATTTGGCTAAGTGCTTTAGCTTTGAACCTGAAGAAGTCTAGATCAGGCCTGTTGCACAATCTATGACCCACCATGACAAACATAGCCCATCAGCCAAGCCTCTCAGGTCCCTGACCCCACCTCACCTTCAGCCCAGTTCTTACATGTCCCAAGCATGAAGCAAAACCAAGTTTTGCTTTTCTCTAGTCCCTGGTGAGTCCTCTTACAAGACTCATGGGCTCCCTTCAGCTTGGTAAGTCACAAGTCATGCAGGTCTGATGTAGATCCAAATCATGAAACATAAAATCAGTGCAACTGAGCCTAACTGGGCACAAATCCATTCTTCTCTCCTCACTGCCTGCAGGCCATCCCATCCTGAAGGCCCTTCCCTCCTCGCCCCCATAACCTCTTCCATGGCTTCACATGCAGCTCCAGCCCCCAGAAATATCTCGAAAATGGCTTAGTGGACTCGGAGAGAAGTAAACACGCGAACACCCACACACTGGAAACCAAAGTTCCCTTTTTTTCTGCAGCCGTGATGGGAGTGGAGTGGCAGCGCCTGCAGTGCAAGAACTACTCAGACTGATCCCATCCTTCAGCACTGCGCCCCGCGCCCGGTCGCCCTCGGTTCGGGGATGGAGAGTTACTCCGACCGAGCTTTCCCCGGTCACACCTACATGGTGCTCGTCCAGCTATCAAGTCAAAAACCGGAGGGGCGGGGAGGGTCTCCATCACTTCTCCCTGTGCTCCATCGGAGACTGTCATGTGACAGCACGATTAGGCAGGATCCTTCCGTGTCCCCCACCTCCCCAGCCCCTTCCCTTCGCTCCTTATTTTTTCATCCTTGCAGGCTTCTCCGGTGGTCACTTCTGCTGGCTCCGCCGCGTCCCTCGCCGTGCCCGGCTCTAGCCTGTGCCCCTCTTGGGGAGGGCAGCGGGCACGCGTGGCTTCCTGAGGGCAGGGTCTCTCTCCCCCCAGCCCGCCCGCCTGCCCGCCTGCCTGCTGTCCCAGCAAAAGAACCAGCATGGCCCATGACGGGGTGGAAAGTTAGCGGGCAGCTTCCCCGCCTGCCAGCAACCGAGGGCGACTCTTCCGAACAGGAGGCAGAGGGAGAGAAAAGACACCTTCCCTCCCCACCCCTACCTTGGGCGGAGTGGCTGGATCGGCACGTGCTTGCGCGCGGCGTGCCCGTGCGAGGAAAGCCCCGGAGTCCTCGGTGCGGCGGCACCAGCTTCCCCTCTCTCGCCTGCCGCCCTCCTGCCGCAGGTGAGCCTTCCCGTGTGGCGCTGCCGCCGCCGCCTGCGCGCCCGCCCGCGTTATGTGTGCGCGCCCTGAGCCACTGCAGCATCTCCGCATTAGGATGTGCTCCTCCCTTCCCCTCCCTTTTCCGGCGCGCTCTCTCCCGCCCCCCCCCCGCCCCGGCGTTGTAGGGGCCTGGAGGGGGAGGGCCCCCTCCCCTCCCCTTCCACTCCGCCTTCACCTCATTTGCCAGGACCAGTCAGCGCTTGGGAGAGTGACTTGCAGCAGTATGCATAATTCAAGGGCTTCTCCCTCCGCCGCCGCCGCCGCGTTTAACAGTCGCCCCTCTCCAGCCAGACAAGTCTTCTGGAGCAGCACTCCGCTGAATTAGGTCTGGTTGCCTTGGACTCACCCCGTCGTTAGGGCTCGGGAACGCAAGGCACGGCACTGCAGGGCAGGGGGAGGCACGCGGGATGCCCCCCTCTCAAGCCGTCGACAATGCGAGGAAAGCAAGACTTCCCGCTGCCCCACCCTCCCCCCAGCAAATATTTGTTTCCATAATTGTGCATGCATGACACAGAATTTAATTTGCAGCATGCAAGGTCCAGTGGAAAAGGTGTGCATCCGGCCAAGGGCTGCTCCGTCTTCTTCTTCCGTAAATATGCTGCTCCTGTACATACATGCACACATAGCAAGGTGGACTAGGCCCAGATGACTCAGGGAAAACAGCACCCCTCCATCCCACTAAGTGTATTCGGCCCAGTTCTTTTCATCGCTACAGCAGGATAACTAAATTTGATGTTTAATTTGAAGCACAAATGTACTTTCTGAAATAACTGAGGCATGCTTCTTTCCCAACCCTTGGAAGGTGTTTCTGAACAAGCACAGAGAGCTGCTGGTTCACACAGCCAGCTGGGCTTAGGGAAGGAAGTTTCAGTAGCTTGAATTTCTGGCACATGTGAGTCCCGGGCATTTGTGTTTGAAGCCTAGCTTTGCTGAAGGACGAGCAGATGCACATACATCATTGATCCTTGGGTGATGTCATGCCATTGTGCATGGGATGTACCCCAAATGAGCAATGAAGGGGCTTCAGCTTGAATTGCAGGTATAGCAGTGGGTGTTGACCCCCCCCTTATCTTTTGTGGTGGGCCCCTTGGCTATTGTTTTTCAAATATTATGGGGAAGGCACCAGATGCAGGGGAGAAAACAGGAGGAATCATCCCTGTACATAAATGTGTCTACTGAGCCCCAAAGAGTTTCACACAGCTTCTTTTGAAAGCACTTTTTAAACTTTTATATTTAATATAGCATGCAGATGATGAAACTTAAAAAAAAATCGGTTTTGGTCATATTCAGAACTCTAGAGCTGGCACCCTATGAGGAGGCAAGGATTGTACAAGGCTGCTGCCAGAACACTTGGCTGCTAAGAAAAGCTGTTTTTAGCTGCCCAAGAGGTCTGGTCTTTAGTGAATACTTGTTAACTCCCACTGGACAGATGATCTGCAAATGTTGTTTATGACTAGCTTTTGTCTGATTTATGTTGCTGTAGCAGCATCTCAAATATTAATGGATTTTACTTCCTAACATTCTGCAGAGGGAGGTGCTATTTTAGTAGGGAAAACAAAGACTAGTTTTGGTTAACTGTCATCTGTCTATGAAGTAAGCATGTGAAGGGCCAATTTAGTGACAGTTGTCATTTTGGGGTGCCCTTCTGATTCTTACATGTTAGATGTTCAAGCATGCTGACTTGTCACTGGCCCATTAATGGGTTTGAATTTGGGTACATATTTCCTTGTGCAAGGAAAAAAAAGGGAAAATTATACCTGGGATGTGTGGGACGTGTGGCACTTTGAGCACAAACCTTGCCCCCCTCCGTTCACATAAGCCTCTGAACTTGGAGGCTTAAGCATATCCTATTTCCCGAACAACATGTAATGGCAATGATATATCTGCCACCACTGCCCCTTTCACCCTGATTTTTATCTGGATGGCCAACAGGAATCAGCATAAGTGCTCAGCTTCAGCCTCTTCCCCTCCCCATGCCTGACACTTTCCCTCTGAGGTTCATTTACGATCTCAGGGAGGCAGCTCATGTAGTTAGTTCTTTCCATGCTGGCTGTGAGTGGGGCAGGGACTGGGCTTCTGCAGTGCCAGCCCTGAGACTGCAGGGTCTTTGAGCTGGGACTCTGAATAATCCTATGGCTCCCTAGATAATGTTGGGAGGTCATAGGATTGTGCCCTTAATCTTATTTCAGAGCAGTGTGATAGTGGCGATGACAGGAGATTCTGTAACAGAGCATCTGTGGGTGTAATGAGCTCATGGCTTTCAGGGAATGAGTTCCTTCCTGCGAAGCCAAGGCTGCTGGCCTGGAGCAGCTAAGAGAGGCAGAAAGGTTGGCTGACAAGACCCTTGGGAACCAAATGTCAGGATCCCAATTTCTGGGTGACAGCTGCTCTGGTGCCCACTAAAACACATTTGGTCCTAGTAATATGCTACTGTTCTCCAACCCAGGGTGTTCTGGGTGATCTTGAGATGGAGAACAAAATCAGGAAGGCCTCAGGAAAAGGCAGTGTGGTAATATGGGTGACTTTAACTGTCCACCATGTCAACTGGATAAATGTATGTTCCAGTTCTGACAAAGATGTTAATTTTCTCCATGTCCTAAATGACTGTGCTATAGAAGAGTTGGTCATGCAACTGACCATAGAGAAGGCAAATCTGGATTTCAACCTAAGTGGAATTGTGCAGCACCTGATATGAGATGTAAATGTTGTAATGCTGTTGAACCAATTGGAAAGAGTGACCACAGCACTATCAGATTTGGTATGCAGTTAAGTGGAAGATTGCTTAGTACATGTAAGAGGTACTCAGGTGTGGAGAAAGTGGAGAGGGTGACATTTTTCTCCCTCCCATAATATCAGAAGCCAGGGTCATCCCATGAAGCTGATTGGTGGAAGATTCAGGACAGATAAAAGGAACTGCTTCTTCACACAGCCCACTATGGAATTCACTCCCACAGGGAGTAGTATTGGTCATCCATTTGAATGGCTTTAAAAGGGGATTGGACACATTCATGGAGGAGAAGGCTATCCATGGCTACTAGCCTTGCTGTTGATATCAGACGCAATAGGCCTGTGTACAGCAGCTGCCGAGAAGCTTGAGCAGGTGTTGCTCCTGCACCCATCCTGATTGCAGGGTCTTGTGAGTGCTGACCTGGGTAGATTGCTGGTCTGATCCAGCATGACTGTTCTTCTCTTCTTATCTTCACAGCATTAGCCCTTGGAATAGGAAATGGGAGTTTTTAATGGGGAGCTGGTCTCTCCTCCTTATACCCCAATTACAGTCAGTAATAGATTGTTACCTGCATTTGTAGTTGAAGGCTCCACTGGGTGGAATCTAGAAGCTGAGGAAAATGTAGATCCTTGATTGCCTGCAGACAGTCTTAATGTGCTCTGTGGAGCTTTCTGTAGGTGTTTTGCATGTGTGTGTGGAGAAGCTCCAGCTATCTTACGAGATGCAGAGTGGCATATAGACTGTATCCGGTAGCGCCACTCATCTGGCTTCTGGTAATCTTTAGGACTGTATGCTGTACGTATTTGTGCATTATATTAACATTTCTGCACTAGCTGCTGGACCTGACCAATTTTTCCAAAGAATTCTTTGTGATAATTGCCTCTCTGGTTGGGTGTTTGCTTGTCTCAGGGCCATTGTTTTAATTTGAGAATGAAGGTGTATATCTTTCAAACTGTGGAGTGTTTGTTCAAAGTGAACTTAAAAGAGATGCATTAGGAAACTATTTTCTGCCTTTCTAAAGCAGTGATGCTTTCTTTTCAATGGAAAGGAGGCTTGTATGTTATCAGAACAATCGTGCAAGATATTGGGAGCAACTAGATCTGAAATCTCATTCTTGGCAACGCAAAGGCTGTTCTCCGGCAAGTGTTCATGTTTGAATTTTCTAAAATAAAGGTGATTTCTTCAGTATTTTGAATGACAGGAACTTTTGTCTCAGGGGTTTGAAGCACTCATCCACATGGAATAATAATGTGAAATGTTTCAGTCAGCAAACTGATACTTAACATTATTGTCTTAAAAGAACTCAAAATTAGAATGTTTAAGGTCTTGAAGTAAGCATCAAAGGAAGTCAGACAACAACTTATTCTAATTGGATCCAGTTTTAATTCTGACACATTGCCAAATTTGCACATTGAAGAGAATTTAATTTCCGCTGTAGAATTAATGTACATTCTGCAATACGAAAAACATACTTGGGAATCCAGTGTGGTTTGGCTTGGCAATACTCACTGTTGTCCTGAAGTTCCCAGTCAGTTGATGGAAGGACTATAAGATTATTCAGCAGTGTTTGCTCTTGTTTTTATAACAAGTTGATCACAGTAAAGGTGCCTTTGCTATCAACGCGAAAATAGAATGGACAAACAAGATTTCTCTTCTACACCCACTTCCTCCCAACATGTTTGCTGCTGTTTTCCCCCTGGTATAATATATCAATAGGAATATGCCACAGATTTCAGTTCAGCTTTATGTAATCACCTCAGTGAGGATATAGGTCTTTAAGCGGCTATAATCTTATGTACATTTTCCTGTGGGGATCTCTTCTGCATAAACATGGATAGGAATGCACTGTTTAAGACCTTTATAGGTGCAACTGATGGATGAATGTCTTTACAGATCTGGGACTCTCTTGCTTGGACCTCAATGTTTTGACCAAGATATTGGTCAAACAGTCTCACAGCTCTTTTTGCTTCTATGAACAAGAACTCTTCCTGAAGTGCAGTGCTGCACTTCAGGTTAATTCATTTCTGGTTTGCTTTGTCAGTTCCTTCCAGCGGTTTCGTGTGTTAGATCTGTTTCTTGGGTGTTCAGCCAGTGCAATTATTCCGTGGCAGGGACTGGCAGAAAGTTGGACTCTAGATGTTCTAGACCTCAACTGCCAGCAGTCCTGGC